GTTAATGTGGGAATATAGGTTTTTAGACTTTCTTAAAAGACTTTGTTAAAATTTTCTTGACATCGTTGTTTGCTCTAACTTTGCACTCTTTGATAAAAATGTTTTAGGAAATGTGTGTAATCAAATTTCGTAGTTACAGCCTCTGTTAACACAGACAGTATATGCTTTAAAGCTTCATGTACACCTGTTTGACTAAACTTGTGGAAGTATCATGTGCTAAGTTCTCTTTGCCTTTCTGTGTTCATTTACAGCTAAACTGACCTTTGTTATTAAAGCATATGCATATATGGGGGGGGCAGGAGCTGGGGCAGGCAGTGTGGCTCTCGTATTCTCTTTACCAAACATCACTCCACTGTCCTGGGAGTGCAGAGGCTGGCTTGGTGGAAGATCATTCGCATGGGTGGCAGGCAGAGCCTCCCGGAGAGGGGGCCGCAAAGGGCAGGTGCCTCCAGGATTGTTCTGGGAACAAGGCTGTTAATCTTTCCATGACGATGGGCAGTTCTTGGTAAAGGAGAACTGACCACATTCCAAGGGTAATTCCCGTGTCCTGGGCGTACAACTCCCTGGCCAGGTTAGAAAGTGCATTTTGTTTCAATTCACTTCATTTCCTGCTCCTCAGTGCTGGAGGACCTGTGCCCCACTCCTCATAAACACTCTATTTGTTGTTTAACGCTCACCCGAGGATATTTTTCCAGGGCTTTTCAGAGAGAGTGGAAGTGGGGGGAAGAGAGAGACACTGATGAGAGAGACACATCGACTGGTTGCCTCCGGCTCCATGCCCACCAGGGCCGGGGACTGAGCCTGCAACTGAGGTATGTGCCCTTGGCTGGAACCAAACCCGGGATGACACTCTACCACTGAGCCAAACCGGCCAGGGCAACAGTCTATTCTTTAAAAAAAAAAGTTTTTAATGATTTCAGAGAGAGGAAGGGAGAGGGAAAGAGAGACAGAAACATCAACGAGAGAGAGAGTCATCGACTGGCTGCCTCCTGCACGCCCCACACTGGGGATGGAGCCCGCAGCCCGGGCACGCGCCCTGGCTGAGAGTGGACTGCGACCTCTGGTTCATGGGCTGATGCTCAATCACTGAACCACGCTGGCAGGGCAAACAGTCTATTTTTAAGCGCTCCAAACCAACTGTCTTCTTAAACAGGGCAAGTGCATTTCCTTCTCTGAGCATCATTTTCCAAAGGCTGTGGCCAGCACCACCGTACTGATCCCTACACAGGGAACTTTCCCTTCACACAGCAGCCTACTCCCAAATCACGTTTCTCCCCTACTCTACGTTAAACCTCAGATATGCCCCATTCTCTTGTTCCCAGTGACGCTGACTGGGCACAGTCCTGGAAGATCCATTGATGAGACTTAAAACAATCCTGAGTCACTAAACTGAGAACCATCTCCCCTGTAACCCTTACCGTTGCCGGCAGATTATTTCCCATTATCGTTTGACCTCGTCTTTGGTCTCTATGGAGGTTTTCAGTTCATTGAACTGAAGTGAGAAGTAGCAGTGGCCCCGCAACCAGACGGAGTGGGCCCAAACTTACGGCACTAGCTGTGTGGCCCTGAAGAGGCCGTCACTCGGTCACTGCGTCCCCGAGTGCCTTGCGCACAAGGTGCAGGTGGCTGCTGGATAAGGGCAGACATCACCACTTTTGTTATTAAGGTCCTGCTCTGCTTAATCCACCCCCCCAAAGGCCAGTGTCTCCTGGACGCTAGTGCGCTGAAGACGTCACCACGGCTAACCCAGCACCACGTGGGCCTCCATCGCTGGCGTGTCTGCTCGTGCTTGGGACGCTGCCTGGTGCGCTGCGACAGGCACCCTTTGCTCTAATTCCCACCACGGGCACCTGTTCCTCCTGCTTGCTGCTGGGATGTCCTCCAACTGCCCCGCTGTGCTCAGCCTTGACTCTGGCCCTGATGGCTCTGCACCAAGTGGTGCCACTGTCCAGCAGCCCCTGTGCGTGCCCTTCAGGCTGTTGGTGTCCAACGCACACATTCACCTTCTTTATTCGATCTTCAGGAGCGTACGTGACAGCCTACTCAGGGTCGCATTTGCTAGCACTGCATTCTTGCCCAAGGAGGAGTCTCGCGCGTCCCCAAGCTGGGTCAGCTGCGGCTTCGGGTCCTGCGGGCACACACCCGCTCTGCAGCCGTGCTCTCAGAGGGGCTCACAGGTAAAGCACACAGCACTCATGCCATCAGTGCCTTTGATGATGAAAACAACACTCCCAGCTTTTCTCTAACTGACATGGACATGAAACTGGGCTCACCACCTGCATTGTCCCTGAACTAACACAGGAATCAGGGCATGGAAACAAAAATATATAGCCTGAGAACAGCAAGGGCAGTATTCTGTTTACAGCCAGGTAAAAAGAAATCTCAGCTGTCGGTCTTGCGCACTGCCAGGTATTGGTAAAATGCTATTACAAACGGCACGTGTACCAGGCAGGGGTGAGAGATGTGGAGCAGGCCACGCGTCCACAGCCCCAGTGCTCCCGGCAAGCTCCCGAAACAAGCACGTAGAATGGACTGAGCTGGTCCGCCCAGTCGGGGCCTGACAGAACCCAGAACGAGCTCCCCCAGAAGTTCACCTCCATCCCTCCTTATGTCAGAGAAGAGTGGAGCAGAATCCTTCCCCTGAAAAACAGGCGCTGGGTGATGCTGCAGCTTAGGCCTCTTGGCAGTAAGCCTCCCTGACGTCCCCTGCCTGTTTTTTAATTAGTGACTTTAGCTCATCTGTCGGAAAATATCCTTTGCCTCACAGCTCACATGCTAGGCCCACTGCCAACTCCGATTCCAGTCCCGGCTGTGATGGGCTCAGCTGAGCTTGGACCCTGACGAACGTGCAAATCATGACCCCAGAAAATACAGAACGAGAGTCATGGAGAGAATTTACTTTCCATCCTTGGCTCTCGGACTACACTCACAATTACATAACACGGAGTAAAATATTTCAAATGGTAATCCGATGCAGCAGCACAAAACCGTGCACGCCCGTGTTTGCTTGAAAAGCAGGCCTGCGACGTAACAAAAACGCTGTCTCTACATGGCATGGAAGGGATTTTTCAGGCGATCACCAAAGCAATGAATTTTCAAGGGAACACACTGTTCTCCTTTATCAGGATGGGTACATCTGGCAAGTGCTAGCAGGTGCACAGTCCCATTGTGGGCCCAAAGGAAAACCCCACTAACCACACCTCTGCTTTTGACATCTGATGCTCTCAGACCGAAACTGAAGTTAAAGGAAGATTCCGGAACTAAGGCAATGCTTTGCTTATAAATCACATCTTCAAGTAACTCGCTGTGGATCTTTAGAGACATATTCTTCCAGGACACACTAAATGAAGGGCAACTACCGATCTACAGCCAATCATGACTAGAGAGGTCTGCAGTGACACCACCCAGGTCCCCACTGAACACACGGAGATGCCTGAGCCTTAGCCACCACGTCCAACGGCTGGGAAGGCCAAGGTTTCACACAAAGCATCACAGCTGCATGCGCAGGGCTCACGGGGCTCAAGCTCTTCTGCCCACTGTGGTTTTCTCTCACGTGAAGGCCCAGGCCTTCCTCCCCTGCTTCCCAGGAACCCGCAGTGAACCTGGAGTGCTGAGAAGCCTCCTTCTGTTCCCTTTCCAAATGATCTGACTTCTCGTCGTCAGTGGTGTGAGGAGCTGAGGGAAGTCCTAAAAGTATCAGTATGTGCGTATGTTCCATAAATATTACTTGATAATGACGTTTGTTTTACTTTTATTCACCTGATTTACAAAAGGCATTGTGTCACGGTCGTTAGGAGTGTAAAAAGCCAGGAAGCCTCAGTGTCCTTGGAATTCCTGTAGCTGATGTTTAGGGAGGAAGACTTCAAAGTCCAAAACAGGGCTCTTTAGCGCCCAGTCACATGGCCCAAAACCCACCTAGTAACCTCACCTCCATTCCCTTTGTAACACGGATAACCATTTCCGTAACACTAGGCGCACAGAGCACGGGAGTGCGTCCGCACTCCTCCAAGTCCCAGAGAGGCTCCTCTGTTCTGAGCCAGGGAATCACTTCTCTGAAGGAAACTGGACAGAAACCGCAGCCGGTGAGGGAACCTGTTTTGTCAGGAGTCGGAATGAGTGCCCACAGCTCTCCAGCCGAATCTGCCTTCAGGAAATAACTGGGGTGAACAGTGTCCTGGGCATCACTCACCTTCAGGGCCCAGAGGACCATGCCCATGTGGTGGCAACACAGGGCGGACTCCCGGAGCCGCCGCACGCGAGGACGGCATGCAGACGCCAGGGGCAATGCTACTCCCGAGCCACACCCTGGAGCCCAGGGGCCTTCCCGGACGGATGGGCGGACACATTGCTCCAGCAGAGTGACCACTGCCTTAGAACAAGCAGGATCCTGTCACATATAAGCCCAACTGTGGGCCCGCTCGTTCTAGAAAAATCCACCTTCAACATACATTATTTCATTCAGGAGCTCTCTTCCTATTCAAACACTTATAGGAAGTAAATTACAACACAAATAAAATGTTATAGCTGCTGTGCTCCAGCCCACCAAAAATTTCTCCATTTCTCAGTATCGCCTGGGAGCTATCACATCAACAGTTGGGCACCACTAGGGTTCCATTAGGACACCTGATGGATTTGGGGGAATCTCTAGCTCTGCTGCTCTGTCTACTGCCCTGATCCCCTCCGCTGAGAGCTGTGGACTCCAGGGGAGCAATGTGCCACAAGCTTTTCTGCCACGGCCACTGCGGCCGCAGGACAGAAGTGGTGTTTAGTCCACAGGCGACATACATCACAGGCCAGTTTCCGGCTGCGATCTCTAGGCAAATGCTGGACGTTAGGGAAGGCCTGCCCGCAAACCGCCTCCCGGCTCACACAGAGGGGTGTCCAGCCCTCCCTGTGCTGTGTGTACAGCCTGCAGACTGGCAGCTGGCGACGGCATGGGAACCGCTTCCAGGGCCGCCCTCTGCCCTTGCCCAGAAACCACCCACACGCCACACACTGACCTTCAGGTCCCTGTGAACTATGCCGTTCAGGTGACAGTGGTTCACACTCTCTAGGATCTGCTGTATGCAGTGGCTGCAGAGACACAAGGGCAGAAGCAGGTATTTAGTCCACAGGCGGCATACGTCGCAGGCTGCTGTGAGCGGCGATCGCTCGAGCGCAGGTCCCGAGAGTTCCAACAGAACACACACACGACAGTCTTCACCGCTTGCTTTTTTAGCTTTACACCAAAATTAAATAATGCTGAATAAAGCTAATTCTGGTTCTAACAAAATGACATCCTACACAGAATTTGTGACATGTTCAGAAAAAACAATTTGAGCTCTTCTGTTCATTGCAAGTCTACAAATTAAATCACTGGTTCGCAGAAGCCGAGGTCTCCACGTCCAGGGAGGAAATGTGTGCCTTTCTCCACTACGTCCCGGGAAAACTCTTCAGAGACAGAACTGTTTATAACCTGGGGTCACGATTAAGCACAGAAACGGAAGAGATGGCAGGTGAGACAGGGTCAGACACGGGGACACTACCCTCTGACTCAGAAATGCTGTCCCGTGTGCAACATGTTGGAAAACAAATGAGGGTTCCCAGTAACGGGAGGACTGAAAGTCCACCCATGATGTGAATCAAGCCCTACAGTCAGGCGACTCTGGGGAAGGGCTAAGAGCTGACGGGAGTAAATAAAACACAAACCCCTGGGCACAGGTGACTGCTGAACACGGTTCCACGCAGGTTTGCTCATTACCTGTCAGGACGCGCGGTTTGGCCCACTGAAGGCAAACAGACTGCTAATTCCAGTAGAGGTTGGAAGCTATGGGGTTCCTGTCACCCAACAGACAGTGACGTGGGCCACCCGCCGGAGCAGTGTGTCTGAGCTCCTGTGTGGCTCAAAGGCAGGCCCCCCCGCAGCCGCTCACTCAGACGAGCGGACAGCTCAGCGCGGACACGCTCCTGCTCTATCACAGTGGCGGCAGGCCGCCGGGTCGGAGGCGTCCCCGCCGGAGCCCCGGGGACCCACCGCAAGCCCTCGCCCGTTTCACTGCAGCATCTGAGCGTTGGTAGCTGCTTTTCTAAGTCATGTGACTTTTTCCTTCCATAAAAATGTTCGCTTTTACTACTTTTTAGGAAATTCACTTTGTCTTCTCAAACCATGGGTATGGGCTACCGGGCCTAACGAGTGACAGAAAGTAGCAGAGTAAACGGTTCACACTAGACAAGCCGCCCGCTGTCACTGCCGAGAACGGGCCGGATCCTGAACTGCTCGAGGAGCTGGAGACAGACTCGGGCAAATTCTTTGCAGAGTATGCTCTTTATGCTTGCAGTTGGGAAAAGAATGTTTTTCTCCTTGATTTTGTGTGGGACTACCCCAAAAATAGTCTGTGAACCCAGAACTTCCGACAAGCACGCGTTGGAATAACCAACCCGCAGGGTCCACCCTGCTGTCTGTGGGCCTTCAGTAGTACAGGCCAGCTCGTCTCTAACTGCAACCCAGATTTCCCAACTGTAGTAACAGCCTGTTTACATAACTTTGGAAAGCATGATAAATAAAATTGCCTAACTTGTTCACGACCTCGATTAAAACTATTACTCTCTTAGCGAGGGTGCAGAGGTCCCAGTGAAGGCTGCTCTGGAGCCCCTCAGGGGCCTCGGGTGAGGGTCTGGATAACTGGGCTGGTGGGTTCGCTCATCAGGGAAGGACAGACAGAACTCTCTCTGGCTCTGGCAGAGTGCAGCCGTGCACAGATAAGACCTGCAGAACACCATGCACAGTGGTGTATTGAGGACACTACCTAGGAAATCACAGGGAGCTGTGCAGGCCCAGCTGCTCTGGGAGACAGGGGCCACTGCAGGCTGGGGCCCGGCACGGGGCTGGACCAGCCTGAGGGAGCCTGACAGCATCCCGGACAATGGGCAACTGAGCAACCGGTAGCCGACTCTCAGAGTCTCATTTACATTGCTCGCAGTGCGCCCTGGCTTCCGGCCAGGCTGCTGGGAGGAGCTGCCAGCTGGGGACGTGCACAGGATGCCGAGGGGCATTAGCACCCCTGGCCTGAGCAAGCAGATCGGCTGATTGCTCCCTACGTCACCTTTGTGCAGCCTGGGAACTTTCAAGGGAGAGGAAATGGTAGACACTTTTAACTTCGGTACAGATTTTTACCAGTTGACAAGGCTGGAAAATCCTCTTGAATATTCTGAAATACCTGAATAAATATTTTTCAAGCGAGGGTTCCAAGGGCTGCAGAGACATTTCTAGCTAATCATGCTTCAGAGCGACACGGGCTTCTGGCCTCTCTCTGTGTGGGCTGCTTAGAGGGCCTGCCAGGTGCTCAGGACCTGCTCCCCAATTGTGGCCACTGGCCACTTGACATGTGGCTGGTGGGACCAAAGAACTGAACTTTTATTTCGATTTACTTAAAAGACACAAAAATTGAAGAGCCCTATGTGACCAGTGGAGTACTGGGCAGCCTGGGATCCAAGGACTAGAGGATGTCACCTTTGATCCCTCACATTTGCTAAAAAAGTATATTTATTTCTTTAGCAGAAGTCATGCCAGTTAGGCTTTAAAAAAATGATAAATATTTACTCTAACTATGGACACCAAATAGAGTAAAGTTTAGACCACATTCACAGATATTTTTTCCCCCCAAAGAATCCTCTTGGAAATACCACAAGGAAAACTATCAATGACAAAGGTGTCACCAGGGGAAGTCTGGGCGGAGCCGTGAGTCCCAGATGGCTGGCGTTGACGTGGCTGCAGAGTGGGGGCAGGTGTGGTGGGGCTGGTCACTCACCTGGCGTCGGCCTCGCTGTAGTACTCTCTTGCCACAATGTCTTCAAACAGTTCACCTCCAGTAACCCTGAGGAAGGAGGAAAATTAGGGGTATACAGTGTTCACGTACAATTTTGTTTTCAGATTATTTTAAAAATTATTATAAAAAATAAAGTGCTGCCCTAGCCAGCCTGGCTCAGCAGTTGGCGTGTCGGCCCGAGGACTGAAGGGTCTCAGGTTTGATCCCGGTCAGGGGCACATACCTCAGTTGCAGGCTCAATCCCTGGCCCCAGTGGGGCGCATGTGGGAGGCAGCCAATCGAGGTCTCTCGCACATCGATGTGTCTTTCTCTCTCCCCCTTCCACTCTCTCTGAAAAGCTATGGGAAAAACATCCTCGGGTGAGGATTTAAAAAAAAATAGAAAATAAACTGTTTTAAAACACTGTACAAATTAGTTTCATAGTGTTCAGTCTATATAATCTAAACATTTCCTTTGTGCCACCAGATCCTGAAGACACAAACTTCTTTACACCATAAATATGTTCAGAGATTTATTCGCAGAAAATGGTTTCTATGAAACTCTCCCTTTCAGTTCTCCAAGTATTTAGTGAGGTCCAACGAGGTGTGTGGAGTTTAGGGCCCTTTCTCAGCACGTGTAGGAGACATGGGCCTGTCAAGGCTGCAGACGGGTTTGCAGTGGCCTCTCTCTGGAGGGCTCCCGTTGTCTGTGACGGACACGCCCTGTGGGCAGAGGAGGCCTCACAGAGCTGAGAGCCTGGCTGTCCTGACAGCACCCGGTTTCCTTATGCCCACGTATTTGCCAGGGAACGCAGACAGGGCTTTCAGCATTGTCCTGGGAGGTGGTGGTGGCCGTGGCCAGCCAGCGTGGACCTGCGGCCTCTGAGTGAGGCCTCCCACCCCATCTAGATTCAGTGATTGCAGGAAGTTCACTCGCACTGTGGGTTTTGGGGGCCTCTCAATAGGCCAAGTGACTCTCTTTGGGAGTTGTTTCTTCTCCAGGTCCCACAGGTTACTGGGTCAGGGGCTAGAATTCCCCAAATTCTCTGGCTTAGGTTTTTTTCTTTCCCCCTAAAATAATGTGTTTTTAAATTTCAAAGTTATAGTTTTGTAGTAAAATTTTAGAAATATGGACGTGCACCAAGTCCCCCCTCTCGGCCTCAGTTTCACTCCCTGGAAGGAACTAACTGTGTACATGTCCCTTCCGCTTCCTGTTCCTCTTGAAACGTTTCCAGTCTCCTCCTCGCAGACACGAGGAGAAACCGGACTCTCACAGCGGTGGGCGTGCGGTGCAGTGGCCGTCAGCACCCTGAGGTTTTCATTCGCCATGAAGTCACGGGCACGGCTCTTGCCACAAACCTTCTTCCCTGTCCAAGTAACAGAGATACCCGTGTGCTTGCATATTTCAGAGTATTTCTAGAAGACACGTTCTTAGAAGTAGGACTGCTAGGTTGAAGAGTGTCCACATTTAAAGCCTGGAGGCACATAATCTCCCCCTTTGCCAAGGGGCCACATCATTACTGATAATGGTTACTGTCAACAAACAAAATGCCAGCCCTAACTGGTTAGAGTGCCGGCCCGAAGACTGAAGGGTCCCGGGTTTGATTCCTGCCAAGGGCACATACCTCCATCCCCTGGGTCAGGGCGGGTGCAGAAGGCAACCAATAGATGTGTCTCTCTTGCATGGATATTTCTCTCTCCCTCTCTCTCTCTCTCCCCTTTCCACTCTCTCTGAAAAAGCAATGAAAAAGTGTCCTCGGGTGAAGATTAAAAATACATACATATTAATCCCCCCCCCCAAAAAAAATGGCAATCTATTTGAAAGGAGTTACCTCATGTTACTATGGCCTCTTGGTATGAGTGAATGAACCCTTTCTCGTGTATTTACCAGCCACTGCTTCCTCGACTGTGGTCTGGTTGAAGTTCTGTGCACCATTCCCTGTCCCTGGGGTTTTAGCTCAGCAAATACCCAGACTGCATTCAGAGCTCAACAGTGACATCAATTCTTGTTATTCCCATAGGAAAGCTTGGGCTGCTGCTCTCGACCAGCACACCTCCCTCCCACCCCTCCCGGCAGCGCAGCAGGAACAGAGGTGTGCAATAAAAAGTCTATGTGGAAACTGAAGAGAACAAATTTGCATTAAGAAAAGATTTGAAAAGAATATCATACCTTGTTCTAAATAAAAATACCAAGAACCATACATTTTTAGAGCTTTTACCCAAAATGTAATTTATTCCAATTGCCTTATTTAGCTGGGGACACTAAGGCGCGGAGAAGACAGGGCACTTGAGGTCACAGAAATAGGCTGCACGTCTGTAACAAGCAAATTTAAACCCTCGCTCACAGATCCTCACTGCACGCGTGCCGGAGCTGACTCCCAAGTTGAGACACTTTCAACACCATGCAGTCACTAAGGCTCCTTCAACCCTGCACCTGCACTGTAAGGAATTTATGAAGCAAAATATGCTCCAGATCTAGACAGGTTTTTTACAAAGGGCTTCATTGGACAAACTCACTGAGAACAACGTTTCTCTCTGCTGACGTCAAAGGAAACCACGAGGCCTATTTGCCAACCCTCTGACTCTGTTAGCTGTTAAATATGCGCTCACAAATGAACACTGTAAATGAAAACACGGATCCGGCCACCCACTCGCTCTCCACCAGTGGATGCGAGAATTCCAGAAGGTTCTCATTAGCCCCTTCCACCAGGGAGTCATCCGTGACCCAGGGTAGGACAAGTTGAAGACAACATAAACGTGGCATCTTAGACTCATGTCTCCGAGCTTCAGCAGCCAAGCGGTCTTTGTACAGTAACACTCACAGCTCCACAGGCTCGGGCAGTGAGTGCCAGCATCTCCCCGCGTGCTCTCCTGGTTGGGCGGGCGTGCCCCCTGGGCTCTCTGGCACAGGCCACGCTGACTTCTCAGAGCTCTGGGGTCTGTGCCAGCGCTCACATGGCTCTGAGCCCAAGCACTGCCCTTTCCTTTCTCCACACATCTGGGTGACTCGGTCGACACCTTGCATCCAAGCTGAAGGAGGGTCTCTCCCTGTGCTCCCCTGCCCTCTACTGACTGGGGCTGGCGGGGGCTCTCCGCCCCACGTCTGCCTGCCGGTGGAGAGTTCGGCTGTGTGGTGTGGATTTTTCTTAGCATACCTGGCTCTCCTCCAAAGTTGAGGCAGGTGCCTTCGACCAGCGTTCAACCTGCCTCAACCGGGTCAGACATCATGGTCCATGAAAACACATCCGAGCTTTGCATCCTCCCAACAACGGGCCCATTCAAACTGACACTCAGCCCCCGAGTCCTGTCTCCTGTCACCCTTCCTCCCGGGCCCTGCTGCTACTGCTTCTGGGCCAGAGGGGACAAAGAAAGGGCCCCTCAGCGGGTTTCTCCACAGCCTGGTGCTGGTGAGAGTGGTCCGGATGGGTCAGCTCAGTGGTGCAAGAACAGAGAGGGCTTGAGAGCCGAGCCTCTGCTCCGATTCAGAGCTGTGTGTTTTCCAGCCGCATGCAGGCCCTCGAATGTACTTCTTTAAGCTACACCCCAGTCCTTACTGGTCCATGTTAATTTAAAAATAAAACCTCAGCTAGTTTTGCTTAGTTGGTAGCTACTGAGGGGTGGGGGCGGTTAGATTTGATGACGCGGTTTCAATGGGATACCATACACCAGAAGCTCCTCTTCTGCTTTTAAAGAAAGAGTTTTTCACAGAACGAGACAGAGGCCGGACAGCTGCTTAAATACAGTTCCGCTCCCTCCTCGCCCAGTGCAGACCCACAGCGGAAGGCGCCGTCTTACTTTCCAAAGCAAGGCAGTGTCGCCGCTCCACTGTGCTCCTTCAGACCAGATACGTGACCTTGGAGTTAAACTGTTCGTTCAGGTTTCTTTCCCGTATTTGCCAGTTTGGAAGGCGGCGGCGAATGGCATCTTTGACCCTCAGTGAAGAGCCTTGTGCCCTGGGTTTGGTCCTTTAACATTCGGGCTATTCTGTGACGCCAAAGTCAACGAGGGCTGAGAACATGCACATAACTGAATATAAACAAACGTGGTCGTTCACAGCATGCTCATTAAATTGCTATAACACGGCAACACTTTAACCACACATGACGACAATAGGAGGGATTTAGGCCGGGTTCTGTATGACGTACACATTTTCTTAAACTGGCTATAACTCTCTCTCGTTAGACAAGAGTAAAAACTGATTAAAATGTAAAAATGATAAAGATTCCTTCCTCAGCTCTAACAGATCGATATGTTCTTTGTTGTGGTTAAGAGACAGGACTCAGAAGTAGGTCTATTGGGGCTCAAATTCAGGTGCTAAAACTTACTACTGGGAAGCTATAAGCAACGTAACTTCGAGAAGGCTCCTCCCTGAAAAGTGACGTCCTCGGGCTGTTACGAGGATTCAAGGAAACGATGCAGTCGAGGCACCGAGCCAGCCGCCGGCACGTGAGGCACCCGACGCAGGTGGACACCCCATCTGCAGGCGGGAGGCTGCTTCCCACCCTTTCTAAAAGGGGACCAGACGTAAAAACTCAGAGAAAGCAGAGGAAACGTGCTTTCCTCAAGAGGAGGACAATTTCACTAACAGGAGCTAGAATCACCCACTGTGACTCTATTTTCCTTTCTGTACTAAACGGCTGGTTTTCTAAGATGGAAGAGAAGAGAGGCCAGTGCAGGGCCAGACTCTCACTTAGAAGGGACCTGATGAACAACAAGCCCCAGGTGTCCAGAAGAAAACAGAGCTGACAGAAACAGCTCAGACTTCTGCAAACTCCATGTCTCTCTCCCACCACGAGAGCCCTGCATTCTAGGAATAAAGGAGGTGATGCTATAAAAAATCTGGGGTTTGCCTAAATTTGGGTAAAGAACATCAAATGTCACTGGGTAATTATCTAGTTCTCTGTATGAAAATTGACCTCATACTGGCTGTATTAAGTAAATGTATGGGGAACAAAGTCTGAGAAACCATTGGCAAGCTCAGCCAGGCCTCTGGGAAACTGGGAAGTCATCAGCATACAGAGCTCCCTCCTCCATAAGGACACAGGCTCCACGCAGGGCCCACACTCCATC